TTATAATTTGGTTTTTCCAAAAATCTATCCTTACATTCTTCTCTATTTTTTTTTTCCTTAAACCAATCATAGCCTTGTGGACTGTACTCCAGTCGTTGTCCTCATGCTTTTCCAACTTTTAACCACCATCATGACAATGTTGAACCTTACATTATTCCACCGTACACGTGGCAAATCCTAGCTAAACGCTACGGTAAGTATGACCGCTGGGTATGCCGGCTTCAAAATGACAGTAAAGAAGCGAGGGAAAAAGGAAAAACGGTACTCTTCTCCTTCAACTTTTACAAAGTTATTAATTCAGAGTCTAAAGAAATGACTTTATCATAATAGTCCTCAGACTTTGCAAAACAATACATGCGCGAGCTTTTTTATCCCTGGTATTGAAATAAACCCAAGTTAGTCAAGAAGGTTATATGAGGCATTATTTTCTAAAAAGTTATATGAGGCACATGCACCTCCATTATAAGTACCTTACAAAAGGGAGATTTGAATCTAATGTAAGCATACTAAAAATTGTTAGAGAAATTTGAAAATTGTTTGATGATTCATTAGAGACCCAATTGAGACACCATTTAAGAGCATTAAGAAGTCAATTTGTGTTTAAATACTTAAGTCAACCTAATAAATTTTAAGTTTAAATACCATGGACAAAGTTCAAATCATTTACTAAAAAAATAGGCTTTAACCATTTAAGGAAGGGTAACATCTATGTACACACCTCATTTAATTCTTTTTGTTTAACTTCCTCTTTTTTTTTTCCTTTTTTGTTACACAAGTAGAAGAGAGTATAATATAAATCCTTTTCCATAGCATTTGCCAAAAGAATGGTTGTTAGACAACAAAGAGGTGCATTGACAACAGTGGTTCTCTTAATGACCCATTCTTGTCATATAATTTGCCTTCTCTAAAGGTGCATTAAAGAGTATAAGATTTGAACTCGACTACGAGAACTTTGCTATCTAGAATGGGAGTAGAGATGATGGAGTTTGTGGGGTAATGTATATGGATCATGAATCTTTTAGTTAATGTCATACTGCTTTCACTATCTAAATTAATTTATTAAAATATAATATAAATACAGTCGGTTCAATTGGTTATTGCATTCTATATGTATGGTTATATTTTTAAATTAGATTACTTTTAATTCCAATAGTGATTTTTTAATAAATTTATTGTATAATATATTAAACTAGTTTTTTTTTTAGCCCGTGCTTTGCACGGGATTATTTTATGTTTTTTATATTATTTGTTTAATTCCATAATAATTTTTAATCA